AACCAGACAAAACGTACTTAGTCAACATAGGTAACCCACTTTGAACAAAATTATGAATTCGCACTGGCGATTTTTGCTTCAATTTTTGCGGTCATTTTCATTTTAGACAATAATGTTAAGGAGTTAACTTGCAAATTTTTATTAGGTACACAGATAGGAGAAACTAAACGTGTCTTATATTAAGACAAAATCTAATATATTTTAGAAAATCGCCCGAAAAATCGCAGCAAAAATCGCCGGCCCTTATATAGTCTTACAAATATGGTATATGTCGTGGTCCCATTCAAGCTGTTTATTGTTGCATACTGAACATTKCCYGTGTACTGTATTCTCCCTTTGGTCCACTGWGGTGTGTCAATGGTGACCTGTGAAGATTAACAGTAATCATTACACTTGCGGACACCTTAATATTACGAACATTTAAACACTGGACTGTCAACTCKCATCATAACGGGCACTTTTAGGACCAAAATCAAAGTGTCCATAAGTGCCCTCTGTAAAGGGAGCATTTTTCACTAGGACAGTTTAGCCTCACGTAAGCGGACGCCCTACTTGGGAAACAGAAAAAGTGTCTTATGGTAGAGCTGTCCGCCTAATAGAAAGTGTGCGGGGTTTTAGAAAGCTGTCCATATGAAGAGCTGTCCGCTTACSAGTGTCCGCAAGTGGGRATTTGACTGCATTGCTATACTAAGGAACTAGCGACACTCTATATRTTCAACTGTACCTTGTAGCCTGTTATCGGCAAGCAGTATTTCTTTGGAGGAATCCAACTCAGTTTTATTGAAGTTTCGGTTAATCTTTCGTATGTCAAATTTACTGGTGGGCCCGTCACTAAAGCAACACAAACAGATTTGAATTTTCTTTTGATAAAGAGAGAGCAAAAAAACATGATAGTGGAAAGAGAGAAAAAAAAGGAAAGGAAAGAAAAAGATAGAAAGTGAAATCAGGGACGAAAGGAATAGATTAGAAAATTAAGCAGAAAGAAGAAGTGAAAAATTCAATAGCGGTGTAACTTACGAACAGTCGGTGTTTTACTTTTGATGGGTTCMGTAGGTGGACCCACTACCTGAGACCACACCCCCTGAACACTGAATTCGTACTCAGARCAAATAGTCAGCTGAGGTAATGAGATTGAATTTCTGGTGCTGTCTTTGATGTTTATTATAGTCAAGTTACTTTTCTCCTCTTTGGATACTGCGAGGCCATGTTTGCTTACAGGACTGGTGAGATTTCAAACAGTAAGTTAAGTTTTGTATTTCACATCATATCATGTAAGACATGAAGTACTGTGAGTGGAACAAATTATACTACGAGATCGAGTGGACTACGCGTTAATAGCAGATGAGGTTTGAGTTAATATCCAACAAACTATCGGGAGAAATTTGAAATAAGAATAAAACAATAGAAAAACAATCCTTTTATAGGCTGAGGCCATTAGTTACCTGTACGACACAACGTATCCGATTGCTTTCATGCCTTCGATTGGAGAATACAGCGGTTTTTCCCATGAAAATACCAATRTGTCCTTTACAATTGTTGCTGTTGGTTGGGGTGAAACAAGTTTTTTGTTCGGGGCAGAATCTGAAACAAAAAGAGGAGGTTAATAAACAAACAAACAAACGATGATAACGATGATCAATGGCAGTGGGATGTCTATATTATTCGGTCGCCCGGAGACATTGTAGTCTGGCCGTTTAATAGAGGTTGGCCGATGAATAGAGGGTGACCACTTATGGCAGCTAAAACTGTAAAATACCAATACAAAAATGGCGATTGTTCTTGATTCTATGGGTACCCTGTGCTTTCTCCTGTTCTGGTGAGGTCACAGGATGAAGCCCAAGACAAAAAGAGACTGTAAAAGGAAACTTTAGGTACTTACTGCAATTTTGTTCATCGGTTTTATCGTGGCATGGTCCATATACACTATCACACCGTTTAAATATTGATATACAATTAGTGCCCTTGTCGCAAACCACTGCACCTTTATAGTTATAATAGCCATTACATTTCCACACTGAACCACTTGGTCCTAAAATCATTCAAAAYGTCTCAATTCGGCACACTGGGTAGTGTGTTTGAGTTGTGAGCCATAAAAACACTGTATTGYTTAATCGATATCCACGGGATTCACAGAACAAAAAGTGTGAATAAACAAATAAATGAAACGGATGCAGAAATGAACAAATGAAATGAGTGGACTAAGAAATGGAATGTGTGAAAGTGAACAACCAAATGAAAGATTATTACCTGAACATGCCTCTTCATCAGTACCATCATCACAATCCTTCTTTGAATTACAAACTAGATGAAGTCCTATACATTTCCCTTTGTCACATTCAAATGTGGAGGGTGCGCAAGTGGGAGGCAGAGTTTGAGTACCTAGAAATATAGCAACCCAATTGATTGATAAATACCCTRTCAATGCGCGAAGCACCAACATGCAAATATCATACTTTTAGTTGTTGYTGTGCATCCTATCTCATCGCTGCCCGAAGGACAATCCTTATTATTATCACACACCCAACTTGGATGAATACAATGGACATCGCGTCCTTTACATTTAATAAATGGCGGATGACAAATGTATGGTCTAGGAGTAGCTGTAGTAGGTTTTGGTTTGGTTATAGGAACTCTAGGAGCTGAAAAAAAAAGCACAATTCTTCTTACCAAATTGCTACTAGTAAATGTTATTTAAGTTTAACGTTAAAAGTAATACATCAAGGAACTTGTTTGATCAACATGTCCAACATTTGAAGAAAGCTGTTCAGAAAAACTGCAGAAAGACAGAGAAACTTACTGCATCCTATCTCATCCGACCAATCACCACAATCATTGGTATTATCACAAGTTTTATTGCGCGGAACACAATAGCCATTTGTGCAAGGGAATTCAGAAGACCGACAAGGTTTATGAGATGTTGGTTTTCTCGTGGTGACTAAAAAAAGAAATTTTGTAAGATATTTGTGACATTTGGAAGATTATAATTTTTCAGTATCATTAGCCAGAGTACATCATTTCCTATAGGTAGTGGAATTCCGACATTATGTTAAAAACCAAGTGTCAAATTTAATGTGATTGCTTGAATACAAATACTGGCTARTGTCTGATCACCATCTGGGAAAGATTCACTCAAAGCCCACCACGATATATAACCAMAGAAATRATATAACAACAATGAAGACATAGAGACTTACTGCAGCCCATCTCATCTGACCAATCACCACAATCATTGATATTATCACAAGTCTTACTGCGCGAAACACAGTTGCCATTTGTGCAATTGAATTCAGAAGATTGACAAGGTCTATTGGTTGTTGGTCCCTGGGTGGTGGCTGAAAAAAGAAGTCTCATAAGATATTTGCTGATATGGCCGAAGTACAGAAACCTAATTTGAATTATTAACAACAATCATTGTTATTGCTTGAATACAARTGTTTGACCATCATCTAGGAAAGATTCACTCAGTTGATTACCACAGCAATGATACATTAACACTGATCATGATGCTAGTAAATAAACAAGAAAAAGAATGAACAAACATTTGTTGATTCATTACATGCTTGACATCCAGTTTCATCAGAAAAGTCCCCACAATCATTATCACCATCACAGCGCCATCTTGATGAAATACACCTTGTATTGTTACATGTGAATTGGCTTGATGAACACGTCCTTAACCCTAAAAAAAAAACACATTAAAAACCCTTATACCATATGACCTTATACCATATGCTCTTATGACTGTGAAAATCACACCATGATCATGGAAACCTTGCCTGGAATTGCCTGGAATTGTGATCCCTATTAAAGTTGTAGTACATAAAGATATGGACATTGTATGCAAGGGCAGTGTCTTTTTGCAGACATTTTTTTCATTTACTAAAAACTGAATGTGAATTTTAAAAAATACATTTTTTGGTGGAAATGAGTTAGAAAAGAAAATGCTAATTACATGTATAAGGATTATAATAATAATAATAATAATAATTTATTATGTTTTTCAAAAAATTAAGAACATGAAGTTCTGATGCTTGGGTCTCATTGACTGCTTCTTTTACTTCCAAGTTCTGATTTTCTGAGAGAAATTACTTACTRTGGCAGTTTGTAGGCTCATCTGAATTATCCCCGCAATCATTATCACTATCACAATACCAACTTTGGGGAATACAACGGCCATTATTGCAAGCATAATAGTTTGAAGAACAGGTTGTGTTGTGCGGTGTTGTAGGTGGAGCTGAAAGAAAAGATTAATATGCCCATCAATTATCTGAATATTATTATACAGTATGTTTAATCTAAAGGTTAAATTTTACAAAAGCCAGTGAAGAAGTTAATTAGTTTGCACTTTCAAAGTAATATTAAAAAAAAAACAATTTCATTTTATCATAAGTTAGTTAAACCAGTTGTCTCAGTAGGCCAAAAAAAGTCAACAGCTGGTCTGACAAACAAAGCCAGAATTTAAGAAGCTGCATTGTATTTAATGAGAAAATACAAATAATTCAATGATCAAATAACACAGGGAAATTCAGAACCCTGAACAACACAACTGAATCGAGTTTTTGTCTATGTTTTTAAACTTGTTTATTAATTATTTGAGATGCTTTAAAGTCTGACAAGACTTAATTTTAATGATATAGGATTAATAATTACCTATATCTTACATCTCGCATACCTGAACAACACAACTGAATCAAGTTTTTGTCTATGTTTTTAAACTTGTTTATTAATTATTCGAGATGCTTTAAAGTCTGACAAGACTCAATTTTAATGATATAGGATTAATAATTACCTATATCTTACATCTCGCATACCTGAACAACACAACTGAATCGAGTTTTTGTCTATGTTTTTAAACTTGTTTATTAATTATTCGAGATGCTTTAAAGTCTGACAAGACTCAATTTTAATGATAAAGGATTAATAATTACCTATATCTTACATCTCTCATACCTGGACAACACAACTGAATCGAGTTTTTGTCTACCTTTTTAAACTTATTTATTTCTTATTCGAGCTGATTTAAAGTCTGACAAGACTCAATTTTAATAATATAGGATTACTATATCTTACATCTCGCATACCTGGAGTGCAGTTTAATTCATCTGAACCATCTCTACAATCATTATCAGAATCACAAACCCATCTCTTGGATATACATCTGTGATTCCTGCATGTAAACTGATCAGAGCGGCAAGTGGCAAACGCTGAAATCAAATGCTCTGTTGTTAGATACATGTATATCAGGGGGGCGGTCTGATAAGGGATGGGTCTCTGTACTAGATACATGTATATCAGGTGGGGTCTGATAAGGGATGGGTCTCTGTACTAGATACATGTATATCAGGGGGGTCTGATAAGGGATGGGTCTCTGTACTAGATACATGTATATCAGGGGGGTCTGATAATGGATGGGCCTCTGTACTAGATACATGTATATCAGGGGTGCCAGTCTGCTGAGCGATAAGTCTTTGTTATTAGATACTTGTATTTCAAGGGGGGGGGGAAGTCTGCTAAGGGATAAGGCTCTACTGTAAGTTGTGCATGAGGGAGACGGAATGAAGGGAATCATAATGCTGGCAGGCATTCCACATATTGCTGAGTGCAAATGGGGAAGGGTACTGCTAAGTCTTTTCTACTCAGCAAGGGAGGTAACATGATCACACTTCAAGCTATACAGTAAGTCTCTCCAGCTAGGTTTGACTTTTACCACCTAATGTAAATAATGATAATTTCTCTACAAACCTTTATATTATATATAGAGAGACGTTATATAGAAAGAGTCTAGTTTTGTATTTGAATACAAACATGAATTTAAACTATAAACTTACTGCAGTTCTTTTCATCAGCCATATCTCCACAATCATCATCATGATCACAAAGCCATGATTTCCTAATGCAGRCACCAYTCGGACATAGAAAATCTCCAGGCGCGCATGACCCATGAGCTATAATCATTTGYATGAAAGAAAATTACARTCAGAGTTAGCATAACAATAAATCACAGGTCAAATTCTTGGAAAGATGTATTTCAAAAGAATCATTTAAGGCTGTGAAATGACTAGCAACACAAACATTTAGCATAAACTTACGACAGCCAACTTCATCAGAATTGTCACCACAGTCATTTTCATGATCACATTTCCAGCTGATTGGGATACAGTTCTGATTGTTGCAGGTGAATTCATCTGAAGGACATGTGCCAGCTAATAAAATACAAAAACCAATTGATTTTAAAATATCTGGTAATAAATAGAAGTACATGTATTTGTTTTAAACAAATAGAATTTCAATGAAATAATGTATTATATAATGTCTTACTCTGGGAAGTACAATCTCCATTACTATCAAGCGAGGTGTTATTTTGACATTTACAGGTAACTGCCCCAGAAGATGAATTTATTGTTAGCATGTTATCAGGACATGCACACTTGTAGTATGGATACACAGGTGATGCGAGACACAGGAATTTACAGGTTGATGACAAAGAGCAACTGTTGTTACCTATAAATATAAATGAAGAAATCAAAATGAGCAAGTATAAATACTCTTTTTGTACTTTCCAGTGCTACTTGAAAGGTAGCTGAGCTTTTCATCAAAGTGAAGACAGTATTTGAACCTGCATCACTGCTAAATAAATTTTGTGGAAAGAAAAGGCCTCCCCACTGCACTTTTTAAGATAGTCCATGTAACTGTATATTATATGGAGAAAGTATTTATAGGGGTTGTTTTCCAATCGCAAATGTTTTTGGATAGATGGTCAGATGTATACATTACAGTTAAAAATGAAGGCATCTTTGTTGGCCGTGTTCATTCTTACCCTGTTGTATAGATTTGTGAAAAACCTTCAAGTCCATTGCACCTATGATAGCACTTTTGAYAACTGTACGTGAGCCTGCTCCTCTTTTTAATGCTCTCATGATACTGTGAGTATTCCAGTCATCCCAGTACATATACTGCTTGTAAATTGCAATGGAGTAAGGGTGCGGAAGGCCTGTACTTGTCACTGTCTRTAAGAATTTCATTTGTTACAGTAMGTCACCATGATGTCCAACAAAACCAAATCAAATTATTCTATATAAATCTAGCATTATAATATCATCGAAAAAAATGAAAAAGTAACCGTAAGTTTTTACCTTTCTGTTTTTTCCATCCATGTCTGAAGTCTCTATTCTGTCATACCACGCATCTGTCCAGTATAACTTGTTGTCTGTAAAGTCAATGGTGATTCCATTGGGCCATTGAATGGAGCTGTTTATCAGGGCATAGCTATGGCTACCAGACATATGTGCTTTGATGATTTGTGCATGAGTACCCCAATCAGTCCAGTACATTATCCTGAAAACAATCAATGGTTATTTGGCATAGAATACCTCTCAAGTCCATCAAAATAAAATACATAAATAATACCAGAAAAKGAGAGGATTTTCCAAAATTATTGCATGAATGTTACTTAGCAGGGATATAACATAATTGGATTTGCCATTTGGTTATTTTACTTTGAATKTTATTGAGATACACTCAWCTATTTWACAAATAACAGATTCTTCACCCTTTCTGTGGGTCCAATGCCAGAGCTCTTGGTTTGTCAAGTTTCTCTGAATACAAAACCTTTCGGTAATGACCATCTTTTCTTGATACTTCAATTTTCTTGGCTCCAGCATCAACCCAGTAMAGGTTATTTCCAATCCAATCAAGAGCTATACCCTCAACCTGTTGCATGGAGGTATGAAGTGTCTGAATGATACCTAAAGCATGAAACATTGTATGAGTATAGCTTTTTACTACGGGGTTTATTAGAACTATTTAAACAATAGTTGAATCGATGGYATTATGCTCTAATAGTTGCTTGTGGAAACTGGATGTTCTGAAAAACAAATAGTCAACTGAGAATGCAGTTCGAAGGCGACTACTAAGTTTTGAGGAACATCCTGTTTCCAAGGGCAACTTTTGGGGCATTAACAGTGGGCACTTTCACGTCACGAAACATCCAACAACAAGTGAAACAACAACAATTTGATGCAACATCAAATAATAAAAACATTATACCTGAACCATTAAGGAAAGCTCGCCTGATAGTGTCAAGTTGAATATCTGCCCAATAAACACAATTCTCTTTATAGTCAAAGTCTAAAGCAATTGTTTGATGGAGACCAGGTAGAGGTAGTGTTGTTTCTTGGTGGCTTCCTATTGTTAATCTTCGGATGTATCTTCTCTGTGCATATAACAGGAACTCTGGTAATGCTAATAAAAGAAAACAGAAGCATTAGTAGAATATTAGGGCTTAAGCTTATAATATAAACTCTAAACTTATAAAAATCCTAAAATTGGTAAGTTCAAAGACAGATGCCTTTGGGCAAAAATATTTAGCTGTTGCATTGAAAATTTTGCAAACAGTGCCATTTGTCCAACTTACATGATACAGGACAAGCTGCATTAGATGGGCTGTAGTCTCCTTCCTTACCACCAGAACATGTATCACCTACAACTTTTCTGTACCTACACATGACAATTATTAAACAATTACAAACCACTGCTTGTTTCAAAACTTGAGATTAATGTTATTATACAATTCATTGGAGATTGGAGGTATGTTCCATACCCTTTAGATTTAGAGTAGGTGGTACCAGCTGGACAATAAGCAGGGATTGGAGTAGGTTGTAATCCACTTGATGTATCCCATATACATGACATACCTTGAACCAATTTATAGCCAACGTCACTGCAAGAATTAATAAACATTATATTATGACTTTGATAATGAATAAATGCATAGTTTGAACGGCAACTTGGTAGAGATTCATTTGATAATCTTTCCCAGTGCAAAATGTCAAAACATACCACTCAAAATCATCTCTTGTGCAATCACAAGTCTGTACTGTGATTGGACGATCAAAGTTGTAACCATTATAACAATGGGCGTGGGCAATGCGCCTTTTATATACACTTCTTCTTCCCAATAAGCATCGTTTGGTAGTGTTGTATACATCTGAAGGAATCCAGTCTTTGTAGTCCTGTGAAAGCTTGCAAGGTTTACCTTGAAATATCAGAGAATATCATTACTGTTAAGCCTAGTCTGCATTGCTTCTGGTCATCTCTTATCACTGGCTCTAAAACTACAGACCACTGGCAAAGCTACATGAAGCTTACCAAGACATTTACTAAAATCATGGATATTAACTTACTGGGAGTATGTATGTATTAAGTAAAAAATGTAGTAATGTGAGAATGTATTGTTTTTCACTTATTGCTAGTTATTTATTAAAACTTTTTTGTATTTTTTATTCACAAACAAGAGAAAATAAAGTAGCTGTGATAGCCTTTAGTCTAGCAGTAACACAATTATTATTATATCTCACCTAATGTCTTTCTCAGATCTACATGAACTACAAGCCATTCATGTTTCTTAGTGTGGGAACCAAAGATTGTAAACTTTGTGTTCTTTTCACCAGGCTCTGTTAGAAGTCCATATACATATATTCTGTCATTGATAATAAATCGTTTGGACAGCCAGTGTTCCCCTTCATTCCAACTGTAGCTGTCGAATTGAAAAATTGAAAAAGATAAATTTATTTTCTTTTAGAATTCAATTGTGATGCAGTTGTTCTCTTTGTGTCTCCATCAGCAACTGATTAGATCAATACATCTTCTTGGATAAGAGGTTTAAAAAAATTAAAATATGCCATATTTACAATCTTGACATGTACATAAACGTTTGCCATTTTATGGTGCAATGTACAGGATAATTTTGGTAATACTTTTCACTTCCACTCTTTATAAAGCCAATATCAATGTTTTTGCATTGCCCAGTCTTCAATATTCTGGAACATGAATACTACCCAGGGGGGGAGGGGGAATTAWTTGTGAGGACATGATTAATTGATGTTAAAATTGAAAAAATTATTTATGACCAAGAATCTACACTGGGGAAACAATCCACACATACTAAAACAAGTCAGTTGGAGCTCCTCTTGGAACTGCAATGAATACACCACCATGATCTCCCATATTGTAAAAGTAGGATCCTTTCAAAGCCTGTGAAAGATGATAGATTCATCAGATAACATAAACCATGTTTTTTTTTAGATTAAGTTATGCATCACCTGAGAGTTTATACTACATGTAGATGATATTATATGGCTTTCCTTTTCACTAAGAATTACAAGATTATCTGCCTAATTAATTTTGGATGATGGTCACACTCTGAAAGTCACCATACCTCTTCCCAGGTTAAACCACCATTTGTAGACATGAATAGGTCAGCATTCAGCTTTAGGCTCTTTCCGGGTGTTCCTGAAGCAAAACATGAAACACATGTACTCCTTAAAATTCCAGTTTATAACTCAAAGCAAGCCTACAGTTCTTTCTAGATGTATCTCAAGTCATATCATATAATTATGTACATCAATATTTCCTTCTTGTACTTGTCATTGTTAAAGAAATTAGTACTTAATTTGAACACAATGACAGCATCAACTGTCTGAACACACCAGTGTACAAAATCTCACGTTTAATTGCATCAGATAAACTATTATTAAAAGCAAGCCAATAAAAGATTCTGATTTAATTTGTTCCAAACTATTGCAAAGTCCTAATCTTACCCATTGCCATGACGATACCAGGTGCCGAGGCACTCGATAGCATGGGAGTGTACCTTGAATATGGGTAGTAATGACCGAAGTCCTGAGACACATGAAGGGAACAGTTTGGCTGGAAATGAAAGTAAACAGATCAAAATTAATTGATGCACACAGTCTCAAAACTACTAAAGTTACATATCAAACTCACCAATGAACAGTTCAAAAGTCTGCCATTCACGTCCACCTTTGGTGCAGCAAGTAGACGCCATTCTCCTCCTTTATCAAAAGTGATGTAAGATGCAAGATGACGTCGCCCTACTCTACCTTTCGACAACTGACTTGCAATATAAACACCTCTCAAGCTATCAACTTTATGAAGATCCACAAATGAGTGGTCTATGTATCTCCTGGAAAGGTTATATAGGTCATGAGRAATTCATCAAATATAATAATAATTTTAATCACTTTTTTAAAGCCAGAAACTGGTATTAATGACTGTACTACTACTAAGTATACACAGTCTAGACAGTATTATGAGAATCAAGGGATTACCTTAGCCACGCACTTCCACTTTTTACAGAAAAGTATAGAACTCTAGATAAGGACAAGCTGTATTTAATTCCTGAGGTATCAGAAATGTACAAGTGTGTAGTTCTCCTGCTGTGGCTGACAGAGAGAAACACTTGGTTTTCAGAGACATCAGAAACTAAGAAATCCTGAAAAACAGAAAGAGGTATATCAATGTTGCTGTAAGCTGCACTATTTTGCTGAATTGACCGGATACTGCTTTGCTGATCAATGTCAGTACTTGATTTGGATAGTAAGCTATAAGTGTGTATATAGTGAATATAATATTTAAACATGCACATACCAAAGATGGTAGGTTTGTTGGAATCTGAGCAGCATGGAATGAGCTTCGATTAAAAGACACCATTAGTGATAATCCAGTTTTCCCAGAACCTGCAAGCTAAAGGACAAACATTTCACATTCAGCTAAATTTAAAACAAACCATATTCAACCAAAACACAAGATAAAACATAAGAATATGAGAAAAATATGAGACGTTATTGCAAGCTWCAGTGATTCCATGCGTAGATAAAAAGATACAAAGTTGGTCATAAATTCAYTTTAAACTATTGAAAATACAATAATCCTGTTTAAGTATTTTTATTGTTGTTTCAAGTCACCTTTGTAGCAAACATGTAGGCACCCATGACTTCAAAGTCATTCACACCAGAAATCAAAGACACTCCAGCCTTATTTGTAAAATAATCAGTTTTTACAACCAAAGAATGRCCACCTAAAAATAAAGCAAAATGACTTGAAATAAACATTTTTGCAATTGGAATTGCATTAAAARTATTATAACATACATTAGTTTTACCTTACCTGAAACTTGCAGTCTCTCGATAAACAATGTATTGGGATTATCATAWGGAGGAATTCCCCTTCAAATGAAATCAACTTCATTAGATTCCTGTTACTACATCATTACAATAATTAGGATTGTTTATTTTAATCACCATCACTACCATAATCATTACATATTTGTCATCACAATAGTGCCACCAGTACAACTATCAATATAATGATCTTCTTACCAGAAATAAGACCTGACTTGATCATCCTTGAGAGTCCAAGTTCCTCCAAAGTCTTGTGAAACATATAGCTACAATTATGGTTAGATATAACAATTTAAGAATTAATATATCTAATAACTTGAAAAGCATAATCTATAATAAATATATGTATTAGTCTACTTAACTTAACAAATATTAACCTTCGTTAAAAAAAATCACATTTTTGGTTTGGAAGTTTCTTTCCCAACAAGAAAGAATGTACAAAACTATTCATCACAAACCTAATCATCAAGAAATAATGAAAAATAAGAATGTCATACTCTTTTGATGTAGGAMGTTTTATCATAAGCCAACACTACATTAGCATTAGAAGGATGGAATGTAATCTCATCAGGTGTAAAGGAAACTGCTGTTTTCTTAAATGTCTTGCAGTCGTCAGTGGTTGTGAAGATGTATTTATGAAGTCTATCCATAAATATATACTGCAAAAATAATAATAAGCAAGTTAGTCTATACTATCAAATCATAGTTTTACTTGCAAAAATATTAAAAATATTTGAAAATATTTGATTTCAGATCGAAAGTCCTGGTCTCAAGATTTAGCCCCTGGATAGCACGATATTTTCATAGAATGAAATTTATTACTTTATTTTCAAAGAAACCCTTCAATGAATTATTTTGTGTTTCCTTGATCTGTCGATACGGTAACTTTTTTCAACGAAATACCTACGGCTGTTGCTTGCGTATGAGCGTGCAGGAAAAGTATAAAACTGATTATGCAATATCTAATCTCATTGGTCAGAACCTGAATATGATGTCATTCATATCCTGTGACGTCATGCACATAATCATGGCAATTTCTCCTGATTTATACAGTTCAGGGGTTGACATCCCTGAATCAATTGACTTTGTTATGTAAAGGAWGCRCCTAGCTGGCAGCACGCCTATGTGTAAGTGTATGTACAATGAGACCGCGTTGAGTTATGAAGGACGATTAGCACCCAAGACATTTTCCCTTTTATCACTCAATTACTTACAACAGCAGAGAGATTGAATGAATCTGACACTTACATACATACACCAGCAATGAATACAATGACAGAAAGTTATGGTTTACAGTAGTACATACCTTAGTTTTATTAATAGGGGAGCTATGGAATAGAGAGATTTGAGCTATGCTACCATTTGATAATTTGAATTTTGTTGTATAATTTTGGAATGTTTGGGCATAATCCCTTGAGATCCAAACAGCACTTGTGCTACTAGATGTCATAGTTCTATCTCTTGTTACTACAACAACGGTTTCTCTGTTGTCACCTGACCAGTGAACAAATGCCATGTTGTGGCTGTCATTGAGATGCATCTATTAAAAACAATCAAAAATATTATTTTTTGTGATTGCAGCCKGTATGGATAAACATTYAATTGCAATCCTTGTTGTTATTTGACATTTGACATACAAAGTTTTGGCTTGGTAAGCGTATTATGTACAAAACTACATGTGACAAAACTACATGTGTACTTCATGACAAAATATTCTGCAATACTTTGTTTGCAGATGGTGAGGAGGAACAAAGAAATAAGTTTAACCGGTAGGGAGTCATAGAGATTATATAATAGTTTAACTAATTTCGTATCCATAGGGCCTATCGAGAAAACAGAGGTTTTATACTTAAGATCTTAACAAGTTTCGAAATTAAAAACACTGAAATACAGAATGATGTAAGGTACCTTAACTTACATTTCGAGCCATCTTCAAAACAAGGAAGTGAATCGATATACAAGAAGCTCGATTACGATATTCACAGATTACAGAAAATTACAATTACGTTGTGAAACTGTTTTTTTATTCAATTTTTTTAAATTGCAGCATGCTTCCTCTAGTTCAGGACAATAACAACCATGCAAACTGTCAAGTTTACATGTCTCGTTCGCAAACGTAGAGTAAGAGAATGAAAGACTTCTGTGTCATTTCTTACATTTATTTTAAAGAGAACATTGTTGGAAGTA